AATTAAAATAAATAATTTTATAATATAACCATAATTAAAAAATAAAGCACTTACTAAAAAAGGTTTTATTTGTTTACCTCCATTTCATGTGACCATCAGAGAACCGCGAACATGCAAATTAACGATTAAATGATTAAAATAGCCTATATGACCTTAAAATCTCAGGGAGACAAAGTAAGTATTTTCATTCATATTTTCAAATAGAATATCTAGCTATTTATTATCTTCTTTGATACAGTGTGCAACGGGGTTATAATTGTTGCATTATTCCATATAAATAGATTGAGATTCACAAATAAATGTAAAGAATCGTAATACAGAGTGTGCTATGATTGATATGATCATATAATGATATTATCTGATTGGCTTAAGTTGACGGTGGGCGGAGTCTACTTACTGTATTTGTGGATGTGTCTGCACGTCTTGACGCTAGAAATGTTTCAAAATCCACAAATGCAAAAGAAGCGATTCACAAATTAATGCCAGGCAGAATTGTGTTTGTGCAACACAGTCTCACACCCTACTCGTCAAATGTCTGACGCATGGTCAAGGACCCCTGGCGTCAAGTTTCAACGAAAGTGACGGCATCAGCGTCGGCATCACCGTTGATGGACAGTTGATTTCCTATTTCGTCTATATCTGACGATGAGGGATTAACAAGAATGTCTATCTGACGGACCCCCGCGTCGAAAAACAACGTCAAGGGTACACCTCTCTCGTTGAAACTTGAGCCAGGGGTCCTTGACCATGTGTCAGACATTTGACGAGTAGGGTGTGAGACTGACACCGCCGTCGGTGTATGAAGGAGTGAATGAATGGGTGAATGTGAGGCAATAAAGTGCTTTGGTGGCCATTGGGTCTGTGAACGCGCTATATAAATGCAGTCCATTTACCATTTTTCCAGTTAATAATAATAATAATAATTCATTACATTTATTTAGCGCTTTTCTAGGCACTCAAAGCGCTTCACATGGAAGGGGGAATCTCCTCAACCACCACCAATGTGCAGCATCCACTTGGATGATGCGACGGCAGCCATATTGCACCAGAACGCCCACCACACACCAGCTTACTGGTGGAGAGGAGACAGAGTGATGAAGCCAATTGGTATATATATATGGGGATGATTAGTTATTTGCATAACTCAAACAATCAATAGACAGTATAATGTGTGTGTGTGTGTGTGTGTGTGTGTGTGTGTGTGGTTTTTCATTTTGTCATGTGTTTTGTGTCCATTTTCTCAGTGTGGACATCCTTTATCCACTTGTTTTTCCTCTATGTGGAAAGACTGCTGTCCATAGTCTCTGAAATGGTTTGTTTCTGAAATGTCCTCTTGTTTCTCTTCACATTGTCCATTCTTTTTCCCATGGACCATAAGTCCTTATAGAAGAAGCAGTCACTGGTGTTGTTCGAGTCTGTGCCTCTTCATCAGTTTCATCCACCCAGGGTTTCTGGTCTTTTAGGCCTGGAGTTCTGGATCTTGCAGGTCTGGAAATCTCTGTATTCATGTTATTTTTCTAGAGAAAATCATCTCTAGACAAACATCTCGATGCTTATCTGAAACAATTATCAAAAGAAGAGGTTGCCCCCCCCCCCCACCCCCCACAATCATCTTTTCACATTCAAACATCAAAGTCACAGAAATTTAATCTCAAAACATCAAACATCGGTAATGTTTTTTAAAATTATTTCTAAACATGATGCCATTAAAACATTTATTATAAATTGCAACTACATAGCAATGCTAATAAAGAATCACCCCCCTTTTGATAGTAAACCCTTTTCTAAAATGTGTTACTATCATAAAACTAATTCTAATTTGCATCAGCATCTGCTTGTGACTGAGCTTCAGTCATGTTGCTCATGCAGTGATATGTTTGACAAGGTGTGAATCGCTTCTTTATTTCCTTTCAACATTTCCAACTGGATTTCTAAATTCTTCCCGGGTTAAATCCCGTCCACTTCCGGGTTAGGCCCCGCCCAGTCCGAGTACAGATACAGATAATTCATATGGTTAACAGATACAGAGACAGATACAGATAATGCTGTACTCGCTCATATTGGAGTGGAATTTGGATCGGAGCAGACTATAATTTCTTACACACGTCTCTTCATTTAAAGGGACAGTTCATCCAAAAATGTTGTCATAATTTACTCGCTCTTAAGTTCCAAACCTGAATTAGTTTCTTTCTTCTGCTGAACACAAAATAAGATATTTTGAAGAATGTTTGGAATCAAACAGGTGATGGACCCCATTGACTTCCATTGTATTTTTTCCCTACTATGGAAGTCAATGGTTTCCTCAACTGCCTTTTGTGTGTGTAATGATACAATTGTCCATTGGTGGCGCTCTGGCATGATTTATTAAGGGCACCTGGTTAATGAGACAACAGGTGTGTGTTTGGGACGAGGGAAGCACACCGTTGTTGAGTAGCGCGCAAACTGGATTATATTGCTGTATCTACAAGGTATGGACTTGACTTGAGAGTTGTATTTTGTGAAATTGAAAGATTGACACCATCGGAAGAAATGTTTATTCATTCATGCACAGTTAAGAAAGACAGTATTTGTATTTTACATCAGTTTGCTTGTTTGTAGCTACGCGTTCTTCTAAAACTTGCTCACTCATATTACCAACGCCAGTGGCTTATAGTGGAAAGCTCCTACAATTAGTAGTGATGGGCAGATCGAGGCTTCGTGAAGCAATGAAACAGTTGAATCAAATGGTTCATATTGTTTCGAGGCTTCGAATCAATCCGACACCCGTCTCCACGGTGACACCTAGTGGTCACTTGCAGGTGTTGATCTGAAACAACCTTGACAAGCCATGAATTTTTTTTGTTTTTGTTTTGTACTTTTCTAATATGTAAATCTTGTAACCTATAGGCTCCTCATTGTGCATAATGTTATTTTGGTCCTGCAAAATGAATATTAATAAAATAAATCAAGCCACAATGTCTCATTTTTTTTTTTACATATTTTTATTTACTTAGCCTACTTCTTTTTTTACAGATAATTTCTCCAGCCTTTGAAAAAATCCTCTCACAAGGGACACTTGTTGCTGGCATGCAAAGATATTTTTTAGCTAATACATACAAATGAGGAAAGATTACTGCTCTCTCTTTCCAGTAAGTTAGTGGATCATGAGTTGTGGGCAAATACGCATCGTTGATGTATTTTTTCACTTCCACTGTGGCATCAGCTGTAGCATTGTGTATCATCTGGGTTTGATGGATACGAGTATCAAAAAGTTCCCATAAACTGTCCTGTGTTTCTACTGGATGATGTATTGTTGCAGGCGAGCTGCCGATCACAATACACACATCTCACTTTATTTGGGGTTTCTAAATGGAAATGCTCCCACACCACAGATGTACGGCATCTCTTCTGGGGAGCCTCCATTTTATCTATCTATCCAAATCTATCTAGATATGTATCTCTAATCTATGTAATTAGATATGTATAATATGTATCTATAATCTATCAATGTATTTATATTATGTAGCCTATCTTTAATCTATCTGTATCTATCTATCTATTAATCTAGCTGTCTATATATATATATTTATATCTATGTATCTATTAATGTGTCACTATACTCTGTGTCTCTAGCCTATCAGTCAATGTGTTGTGTACATTTAAGCCTAAATATAACTAAACAAATCGCACAATAAATGTCACTATCACCAAAAATCCGCTATCTCAAAATCAAACTCCTCTCACAAAAACCCACGAGGTCAATATGCGTTGATTTCACTTTTATACAGATGTGCGATTGTGTGGTCTGTTGTTCCCGACCGTGTCAATCAAACGCTGATTCGGCGGATCACATCTGATGAAACACTAGTGAAACACTTCGAGGCTTCGTTTGGCCATAGTCACGTGACATGGGTGTTTTGAATCACGCTTCGAATCAGTGTTTCGAAACATCTGCGCTTCGGGATCTCGCAAAGCTTCGGAACGACTGTTTCGCGGCAGCCATCCCTAACAATTAGTGATGATGTTAAATTAAATTTATTTTAATGGGCTTGAAAACAAATGCATTCAATATTTGGAAAATGTTTCAAGTAGCCTAATTAATTACAGGGGAGATCAGGGCACGACCTAACGTTTTTTTAGCGTTGTTTCATCTGGCTCCAGTTTGCCTGTTCTTCCTTCTCAGTTTCACATTCTGTACGAGGACAACAAAATATAAGTAGCCTAATGCTTTTATTAAGCAGTCTTTCACAGAAACCTAATAACATAAGAATTTTAGCTTTGCGGTGCTGAGTGTAATTATGAAACTTTTCTCCCTTTGTTTGCAGACTTACAATGTTTCTTACAAAAAAGTTTTTCGGGATCCTTTTCAGTCTAATAATAACTTGTAAGTAAGAAGTAATTTTGATTGACATGAATTTATCTTAAAATGTTTTTCAAAAAAATGTATTACAATATATTCCACTAAATCTTTGTCTTACATTGCAGTGGATCAACAAGAAGCATCAGATCTTGAGAAAGCACATGCCGCTCGAAGCTGCAAAGAACTTAAGACAAAGTATCATGTTTATGATGTACGCTCATTTTATGTTAATATTTGATCTTAAGCAACAACTGCAGTGAAGTGACTCATGATGCTTTTGTTGTTAGATGGCCTGTACTATCTGACCTCCTCCAGAGGCGTCCTGTACCAGACCTTCTGTGATATGACCACTGCGGGCGGAGGCTGGACGCTGGTCGCCAGTGTTCATGAAAACAACATGTATGGAAAGTGCACTGTTGGTGATCGCTGGTCTAGTCAGCAGGGCAGTGAACCGAACCGGCCTGATGGTGAAGGGACATGGGCAAACACGGTCATATTTGGAACTGCAGACGCCTCGACAAGTGATGATTATAAGGTATTATTATTACATTCATGGTTTTACAGCAATAGTTAAATAGAAGGAACAGAGTGACACAAGTATAAGGATCAAATGATGTTTTTGTAGAATCTGAAACGATAGTTTGTTTCCCTTCTGTCACAGAATCCTGGATACTTTGACATCCCAGCACAAGATGTGTCCGTGTGGCACGTTCCTAATAATATGGAGGTGGAATCCTGGAGCGCTTCCTCCATCCTGCGACATCACACCGATAATCACTTCTTATCTCTCTACGGAGGAAACCTTTATAATTTATTCAAGGTCATAAAACACAATTTTGAGTTTGTAATTTCACAAAAATGGTATTTCTGTGAATGTTTCAATTACAGTGTTTTTTTTTCCTCCCAGAAATTCCCGGTGAAGTTTGGCATAGGGACATGCATCACTGATAATGGACCTGTTATTCCAATAGTGTATGATAAAGAAAATGCGGATTACAACAAAAATCTCTATGGTCCCAATGCAAGAAGTATGGCTTTTTTTTTCTTTTCTTTTTTTATCCTTTATTTAAGCAGGCAAGTCAATTAAAAACAAATTCTTATTTACAGCAACAGCCTGGTAATATCCCTTGAGTCAATAGTTTTTAATGAAAGTGGCTTCATCAGTTGACACCTGGAAATCTGTGTATTAAGTGATTGTGTACAATATAAATTATAAAGGTTTCCTCCGTGGAGAGATAAGAAGTGATTATCGGAATCACTTATCTCTCTACGGAGGAAACCTTTATAATTTATTCAAGGTCATAAAACACAATTTGAGTTTGAAACATACAATTTGTGAAATTCATCTTCATTGGCATCTTCATTGTTGAGCTCCAATCACTTTAATGAATGAAAGCCATGGCATGTGTTCATGGACATAACAGATTATCATCACTGATACTGTATATTCTGTGCTTTTTCCAAGCAAACTTTCAGCCTGGATTCATCTCATTCAGAGTCTTTAATCATGAAAAGGCCGCCATGGCTCTTTGTTCAGGTACCAAACCAACCGGCTGCAACACTGAACATGTGAGTAAACATAATATTCTGGATTATTTATAAATCACTGTCTATGGACAGCATTTGTAAAATGAATACATTTACATTGAAAATAAATCAACAATGTCATATTAAGAAGTGCATCTTGTCAGTAATGTCCTCATATTGTTGCAGTTCTGTATTGGTGGAGGTGGACACTTTCCTGAGGCGGCCCCGAGGCAGTGCGGGGACTTTCCGGGATTCGACTGGGACGGCTACGGTACTAATGCGGGATGGAGCGCTTCTAAAGAGATCACTGAAGCAGCCGTGCTTCTCTTTTATCGCTGAATCTAAAATCGCCAGCAACCTTTCCTCCTTTCTAAGATCTAGCCTAGCCTAATGGCCCTATACTTGCACTGGTCTGACGAAATAAAGGCCACGCTTCATACAGATGTCTCTCGTTGTTAATTTTCGTATCTCTCTCTTCAGTAGACACTCTGAAAACTACAAATAAAAACATATATTCAAAATATGCGTTTCTCAGTCGTTGTGTCTGTCACAGTCTTCGTCTGCACCTGTCTGTCTTAGTCATCTTCACTACACTTCCCAGCATCCTCTTGTCTCCACACCTGAATTCACTCCCTCAATCATCCACCTGTTCATTGTCTTAATCATCTGTGTCACCTGTCCTCACCTCGTTAGTGGTCGTTTGTATCTGTATTTAGTTCTCTCTGTTCAGTCTGTCTTGGTCAGTTCTTGTATATGTTACACGTCTATGTTAACTGGTGTTTGCCACGCCTGTACCTGTTTGTTGTTTTGATTTAGTAAAGTTTATTGTTTATTTGAATTCTTCGTCTCCTCGTGATTCCTGCCATACACCACCCGTGACAGAAGAACCGAACAAAATATGGAGGACGCTATGGAGGCTTTTCTATTTAATCAGAATGGGAGTTCTCTGGAGGAATTTGTTGCAGTTTACCTGCATCTGCATCAGGACGTTTACTGGGAGGAGGAGTTCTTAAAGCAGCGGTTCTGGAGAGGACTGGATGATCCACTAACCCAGATACTGCTGCTAGAAGACTTAAATCTTTCTTTTGCTGAATTTATGGACCGAGCTCTGTGGGTTTGTGGTTCTTCCCTCACAGTAACACCCAGCCGAGCCTTCATCGCTGGTCCCGTCCAGCCCAGAGCTTCACGTCAGCCACGTCCAGCCAGAGCTTCACATCCTCCACGGTCCTGCGCCAGAGACCGTCCAGCCAGAGACCGTCCAGACAGAGACCGTCCAGACAGAGACCGTCCAGACAGAGACCGTCCAGACAGAGACCGTCCAGACAGAGACCGTCCAGACAGAGACCGTCCAGACAGCTCTGGAGGACGCAGTGCTCCTTGTGGGATCCATGGCTGTTTTGTGTGTGTGGGCAGCACACACATGCATTACAGCCCATGAACCCAGCCCTGAGCTTCCTTCGCCGCTGGTCCCGTCCAGCCCTGAGCTTCCTTCGCCGCTGGTCCAGTCCAGCCCTGAGCTTCCTTCGCCGCTGGTCCAGTCCAGCCCTGAGCTTCCTTCGCCGCTGGTCCAGTCCAGCCCTGAGCTTCCTTCGCCGCTGGTCCCGTCCAGCCCAGAGACCCCTTCGCCGCTGGTCCCGTCCAGCCCAGAGACCCCTTCGCCGCTGGTCCCGTCCAGCCCAGAGACCCCTTCGCCGCTGGTCCCGTCCAGCCCAGAGACCCCTTCGCCGCTGGTCCCGTCCAGCCCAGAGACCCCTTCGCCGCTGGTCCCGTCCAGCCCAGAGACCCCTTCGCCGCTGGTCCCGTCCAGCCCAGAGACCCCTTCGCCGCTGGTCCCGTCCAGCCCAGAGACCCCTTCGCCGCTGGTCCCGTCCAGCCCAGAGACCCCTTCGCCGCTGGTCCCGTCCAGCCCAGAGACCCCTTCGCCGCTGGTCCCGTCCAGCCCAGAGACCCCTTCGCCGCTGGTCCCGTCCAGCCCAGAGACCCCTTCGCCGCTGGTCCCGTCCAGCCCAGAGACCCCTTCGCCGCTGGTTCCGTCCAGTCCAGAGACTGGTAATGACTCTGTCACTCTCCCCATTAATTTTTTTGGGGGGGGCCATAGGCCCTCGCCATGGCCGCCCGAAAGGTCCGCACCGCCATGGCCGCCCGAAGGGTCCGCACCGCCATGGCCGCCCGAAGGGTCCGCACCGCCATGGCCGCCCGAAGGGTCCGCACCGCCATGGCCGCCCGAAGGGTCCGCACCGCCATGGCCGCCCGAAGGGTCCGCACCGCCATGGCCGCCCGAAGGGTCCGCACCGCCATGGCCGCCCGAAGGGTCCGCACCGCCATGGCCACGTCCACGTCCTGCTCCATCCTGGCCACGCCCACGTCCTGCTCCGCCCTGGCCACGCCCACGTCCTGCTCCGCCCTGGCCACGCCCACGTCCTGCTCTGCCACGGCCACGTCTTGCTCTGCCCTGGCCACGTCCTGCTCCGCCCTGGCCACGTCCTGCTCCGCCATGGCCACGCCCACGCCCACGTCCTGCTCCGCCATGGCCGCCTGCACTTCCTGATCCGCCCTGGAGGCTTCCCGTCCCAGTTTGGCCACGCCCTGGCCAGCCTTCAGGGCGCCCGCCCCCCCACCCCATTGATGTTCTACGGCGCGAGGTCGCGCCTTGTTGAAGGGGGGCATTCTGTCACAGTCTTCGTCTGCACCTGTCTGTCTTAGTCATCTTCACTACACTTCCCAGCATCCTCTTGTCTCCACACCTGAATTCACTCCCTCAATCATCCACCTGTTCATTGTCTTAATCATCTGTGTCACCTGTCCTCACCTCGTTAGTGGTCGTTTGTATCTGTATTTAGTTCTCTCTGTTCAGTCTGTCTTTGTCGGTTCTTGTATATGTTACGCGTCTATGTTAACTTGTGTTTGCCACGCCTGTACCTGTTTGTTGTTTTGATTTAGTAAAGTTTATTGTTTATTTGAATTCTTCGTCTCCTCGTGATTCCTGCCATACACCACCCGTGACAGTGTCAGTGACGATTTGCCATCATGGAATTATCTGGCTGTATGTGAATGAGGGGGGTGAGGAAAAATGGCCACAATATTTAAATATAGCCATTTTATTTAATTATAGCCTACATTTTAATTGTATTAACTGCCCTAATAACGTTAGAAAATCATAAAAAAATAAAATAACATGACAACGTTATAAAATCTTTATTTTATTAAAAGCAAATAACATATATTTTTCTTCTATAGACATAGAAAATATAGAAATATATAGAAATATAGAGTGACCGCAAAAACGGAAGTTCAAAGACAATACTCTAAAGATGACGGCGCGCTTGTTTCTCTGGTTTACACATAGACAGTATAAGAAATGGACAGAGCCATCTCATTGGAACTCAGTTGAGACAGTTGAAGCCCTTTTTTAGCGATTTCTGAGCACTTCCGTTCCTGACGCGCAGACTCAAACCGACTCAAACTAAGCTTGATGACGTGAGCAACCTGTCTGACAGACGTTAATCTTCTAGTAGCTGTGCGTGAAAATTGCCAACGTTAATCTTGCAGAGACGGGGAACTGGAGCAAAGAGTTCTTTGGCGTGAGTGAGCGGGAGTAAGTATTCCGTTGCTTTTATGGACTCATTATCTATGGGCTTCTCTTTTGACGGGACGTCCCCCCGATTGCCTGCGAGCTTCTCCTCCTGTCTGTACGGTAATTTCTGTACAGCGCGACAGAGAGTCGAGTGGTTATGACGCAATCGTTAGCCTATTTTTACTAAAACTGTTTCTACGGGGCCATAATGTAACATAGAAGGTAATGGAGCCCTTTATACATTGTCGTGTTTCTTTAGAAATAAATAATGGACAAATGGAGTCTTTAAACACCTCAGATGTAAAGTTATTCGCTGTCAAAGTGACGCCAAAATGAATGGGAGTCAATGGAAATGCTAACGCAAGTGAAGTTCTGCTACAACATGGCGGCACCCGGCCGGCTTCAACTTCCGGTCGATGGATTACCCCCTTGGGTTTACACTGGTGTGGGCGTGGCCTAAATGCGCTCTGTATCTTTAGTGGTGCAGAGCCGAATGGGCGGGACTTGAACGCAGTCCTCCTATTGGCTGCAGCGGGCCAATCAGCAGAGTGACCTTGTCATGTGAAACGCTTATCTGGAAGATGCTGCTATATGAGACGAAGTGAAGTTTATGCTTTGTGTCAGAGAGGCGCTATTTCTTCATCAAACTGGACTTTACAAAGATTTAACTCAATCAACGGAATTACACAAATGACCAGGACAATCTGCTGCAAATCTTATAAGAAGAATAGAGGCAAAACCTTCGGTCACGAACACTGAATATTTTGCGTTACACATTTCAAAGCTAATTTTCCTGAATTGTGCTAAAGATGAAAACCATTGTCACTATCAATTTGGCACTTGTTTCAGGTAGGTAGACTGTTTTTTTAATCGGTTGATTCTTGTTGTTTACTGTGGGAAAAAATCAGTTTAGAAAAAAAAAAATCAGTTTATTAGGCTACTCATTTGTAATACAGTGGTTCTGATTTGCAGTTCTGGCTGTTGCTGGGTCGAAGATCGAGGCGATCGATGGACAGAATGTGACAATATCCTTCGACATCGATGAAGTGGAGAAAGCAGATGAAGTGAAGATTATTTTTAAAGAAGACAAGAAGGAATATGCTGTAGTTATTGCACAGAAGCCTTGGGTCTATGATGATCCTCCCTCACCTGGAGTTTCACTGATATTAGGAAAAGATCGTTTATCTGTAATCATTCAGATCAGAATATCAGCATCTCCAGATCAGGACTCTATAAAGCAGAAGTCTACACTAGAGAGAAAGTGTGTTAGGAGACTGCTACACTTGTGGTCAACAGTGAGTATATTCAAAGTCCTTTTAGGCAAGTCATGCCACTCGGCCGCCATCTTGGCAACGCCTCCGGGCAGCTATTTCGGACTAACAAGACCAGGCTCCTATCTAAATTAATGGGCAGAGGCCCAGAACTGCACTTTCACTGGTCACCGGGACATAAAAACTGCATGTATACAAACACTAATAAAATATGATAAAAATCGCTGAAAAAGTGTGATGACTTTGCCCCAAAATAAGGTTTAAAACGCCTTTTTCCCCACAGGTTATACTTTTACTGCGCATGCGCAAGGGTTCTCTCCCTCTGTCGCGCGCTACACAGTTTGAAGCACAGTGTGTGCGCGCTACTGCTCGCTCGCTCTAGATTCCGGGAGATTTGAACTAATTTGCGGGCATCAGGGAGCCGCTATCAATCTGCGGGAGACTCCCGGAACTTCCGGGAGACTTGGGATGTCTGATATTTACACAACTAACACATCAA